CTCGACGAACTTGGGTTCCTTCGCGGGACAGTGTGCTAGGTACTCCTGAAACTTCTCCTCTGACGGGGGGTTCTTCATAGTATTCTGGACCAGCTGGAGAGCCTGCGCATATTCGGCCTCAGACACTCGGACCTGGTTCGTTTTGTCTGAGAGGGTCGCGGGCCGCGCGATGGACGGCAACGCCGCCTCGAGCAAGGAAAACAGAACGCTCCATTGCGTCTCGTTCCAAAAGTCAGAGGTCGGCAGCACCGGAAGCTCAAGCTTGGAGACCTCTTCCGGCAAACCCATCGTGAGCAAGTACGGAAGTTGTTGTTGATACGGGATGGCGAGAGGCGTGTGGCGGTACACACGGATACAACGGTAAAGAGGCCTATCGATTGAGGGGGTTGACGTGCAGCAGAGTTGCAAACGACCGGGTGAGGGGGAGCTTGGGATAAGGTATACTTTCAGTGACATGAGCGAGGGAAAGCACCTCGGAAGCTCATGATCGACTGATGCTGGGCTGTGTGGGAGCAAAGAGACGTCGTTGGTTGCCCCCTGCTGCTCGCATGGTGGTCCTGCAGGGGTGCGTGTTTCCCATGGATGCGGGGTCTGTGCAAAGAGGCGTCCAGCCTCCATTTTCATCGCGTCTGCTTGCTTGCTTCTCCCTGACGAAATGCCTAGGCCCAATCCGGGATGCCTGCAAGAGGTCAAAGAGCTTTGCCATCGCTAGATTTGACGGGTCACTCTAGAACCCATCCTAGCTTCCAAATGACTTTGATTGTCTTGGAGTTCGAGCCGTCTGCACAAACACTTCACACCAACATTAGGTGACGGAGCTGTCAGAACAGATATGCAGGCGGGGTGCAGCAATGGCGCGGCACTTGGGTGCATGCAACCTCACGGCAGGTTGTTAGTGCGAGTAAGAGAAGCTGAGTCTGATCGTGCGGGGAACGGAGCCGGAGCCGGCTTGAGTGGGAGACCGAGAGCCCAGCTAATGAGACAGAGAGAGCACCTTGATGCGATCAACAAGCTGCACCACAGGTACTGAAGTGAAATACCGGACGCCCGACACGGGACCGGCCGACTGCTGAAGGGCTGAACTGACTAGAGCGCGGCTGCAACGCATGTTTGCTGGTGTCTTGGAAGAACGCATTGGTTTCAAAACGACACAGCCGCGCACCTGGGAGCCGGACTGTCGGGAATCTGACTCCGGAGAACCTTCAATGGGCAGATCTGGTAGTGGTTCGAGGTTGCGCCAACAGGAAGATGCCGGGTCAGCTGTAGGTGCCGATCGTACGTTGCTATGCCTGTGGTGAGATTCAAGATCCTGTGGGGCAGATCGATGATGCAAGTTGCTGAGCCGGGGAGGGCTCAGCCTCGGCTCGCATGAACAGTACAGAACTGGAAATGCTCATGATTCTACAATGGTCCGTCAGTCGAACCTGCTCGTCTGTTGCTTGATATATGCTTCATCGAAACCATGAGCAACATCCGATGCCACAGCCTTCCATGCAACTTGGCTGGCCGTTGGAAGCTTCCGGGCGCTACATGAAGTCCATTCTCAGTTCGTCTCACCCGGAGGCGCAGACTCCGTGTCCTGGGTCCAGCACATGGCGCAACTACTCATCCCGGCCAGGTCGGCGGTCTCCGTGGCTGACAGCTCGCTAGCGAGCCGGCGCCATGGTCAATCTCGCCGGACACTAGGCATTGGGTCCGGGCCGGCGACGGGGCCGTTGGGACAGCCTAGACCAGGGGCTCGGGTCTGTCACTCGGTAGCGCATCGGCTTGCCGTCCAGCATCGCCAAGGGGCCGGCAAAACCGGGCGAGCGAACCATCCAGGACAAGGCAGGCAAGCAGAAGCAAGCCCGACGGCGGCAGGGTGTCAGTGGCCAAATGCCAGATTGGCTTCCCCTCTAACGGACTGCAGTCTGCAGACGTCCAGTGGAATTTTTCAGGGTCCAATGGCGGGTCCAGCATCCGTCTACAGGGGGTGCGGGGTGTCATCTGGCGATGGGCGGTCTGGCGGCCAAGAGCGTTCAAAACGGAAGTTGGGGCCGCGTTTGCCTCTGAAGGCCGAATTTGTTGGGAAAATCGTCAAGAGTGTCTGAAAAATGCATGTGAGAGTCGATCTGCGCAGAAAATTGTTGACCGTTCTGCGAGCACTCGCGCAAGCTCCTTCCTGGTAGTATCCGTTTTCCAGGCTGTTGGCGGTTGCGAACATCGGAGTTGGCGGGGTGGTTGGTTTTCGGCGGTGCACTGCACGACTTGAACATGTCGCCCATTTGCAGTCGAATGTCTGGTTGGGCGCAGCTGTTGAGGGGGCCACCCAGGTGTGTCTTTGTATGATGCCATGCCGACTAAGGAACGTGGAAGACGGGAGAGGCGCTTCAATGCCGTCCGATGCGTTCCGGCCGAGTCTAATCGGCCAAGTCCGACTTGACGGCCGTCATCAATGGCATAATGGCAAACCGCGTAGAGAAGCCTGCTTCGAAACCCGGTCGCTCACATGCTTATCGGAGCGTCTGAAGCGATTCGGTGATGCTGGATAAGAGGGTCCTCCCGCAAAAGGCCTGCAATCAAGAGAGAAAAATCTGTGATACGAAGCAGGAAGATGGACAGAATCGGGGATAGCGCTCCCCAACAAAATGGACGCAGGTCGGGTAGCCAGGGCCCACGGCGGATGGACTGTCGATAGTTTGCAACATGAGCTACTTCATGCGCGTTAGCCTGCAGAACGACATCTGTGTGAGGGCACTAGCATTTCCTCCGTAAAGATACGAAACCCGCACGCGAGGATCCCACCAGGAACCAGGGGCTTTATTCGCCCAGGCTGAGCTTCCAGAAGGGATTGGGTGACAACGGGTCCCTGGCAGCCGACGTCTCTCCAGAATGCGTGTTGCGCGCCGTTGCAAGTACGTCGCTTGTGCTTGACGATTTTTTCCCCTTTGCTCAAGTGACAAGCCGGAGCTCCCGACGGGCAGTTCGTGTCAGGCAGATAGTACACAGGAGAATCTCATCACGATCTCGTGGGTGTCGCATAATGTCGGAAGAAGCGTGACCAGAGAGCACTGACTGGCCTGGACTGCGGGCTGGTGGTGCAGGTTTGTGGCCAAACAATGGCCTTGTCGACAATTGGGCCGAACAGATGCTCCTAGTGTATGTAGCCTGTAGGTGCCTTGGTTGGAAGCAGCATATCCTTTCCTGCGGCAAGCGGCTCCCGAATTAGAGTTGGAGCTGGTGACCAAAGCTTTGTTGGCGCCTCGTTCTCGTGGAACAGCGAGGGGCACATCTCAAGAAGAAGCACCCATGTCGCAGCTGGTCCAACCGTTTCTAATATCACTTGAACGGTGCCGATGCTGATGTTGGCAACTTTGCTCCGAGGCAAGCCTGAAGTTGACTCTTGGTGTTGCTCGGGCCCTGTTGCGAAATGTTGCCCCAGACGGACAGGGTAAAAACGATCCATGATTCCTTGCAAGAAAAAAAGCAAGAGAGCAAGGATGATGTCGAGAGCCGAGGCAAGTGAGGTTCAGGGAGTCGATCTTGGGTTCAAGTTGGATCCGTCTGCCCCAAGGGCCCCTGTTGTTGGAGACTTGGACTCCCATCCGTCAACAGCAACAGCGTCTGGAAGGCGGCGCGGCGCCCTTCGTCCGGAGTCTCAGTATCCGGAGGCGTAGGTTGGCGGTGGTGTTAATCATGTGCTTGCTCAACAATCGTCAGCCAGGACAAGGTATCCGTCTCTGCATGTTGCTTGGCGGACCACTCCCATCGAATGGCGGGGCCGCTGTTCAGTGGTGGAATCCACAGAGAGTAGCACCTCCCGCGGCCACCCGACAAGGCGGGCAAGCGCGCACGAGGGACTTGCGGCATCAGGAAGGCGATGTGCTGCTGCTCTTTCCTATTGTTGGTGGTTTACATTGTAAGGTAGGTACTACGGTAAGGTAGCTCGTCCCCTTACTTGGGCAGTCACCGTGAGGAAACCAAAAATACGCACCATTCATCCCTTGGTTTGGACTGATACCTACCCATCTGGTAAGGACTTTCCCATGGCATTGAGACGGTACAAGCACCTTCTCACTGCATAGCACGCAGCGAAATGCAGCATTTACGGATGCCCAGCTTGCCTTTGCCTCCGCCTCTGCCCTGCCGCGGCGTGCTTGACATGCTTGACATCAGCCCGTTGCGCTCCGACCCCAGCATTAAATATGACTAAAGTCTGAGCAGCAGACTGAGGTATCTTGTCCCATCATGTCCACTTTCCTCGTCGTCACCGCACCCACGCCAAAAAAACCAATCAAGCTAGAGGTAGGTAGTAGCAGTGCAGATACCTACGTGACGAGGAGGGGAGGAGCCGCCTGGCCTGGCCTAACGTAAGGTAGGTGAGGTAGCACACCCATCATATCCACGTCAAGAATTGCAAGGTCTGCACACTCCAAGCACATCCCATCCATCTTGATCCCCGTCGCCGTCCCCGTCCATGCCCACACACCACACGCACTCACACGCCCAGCAGTTGTTGTCCCAACTCCAGCTCAAGCTCCAGTGTTCCAGCTCCGGTCCAGAAAACCACTCTTCCCCTTCCCCATATTAAGACCTCGAGGATCCCCTCGCTTGGACCTTGCTGCTTGTTCTGCTTCTTCTTCCTCCCCATTCTCCTCTTCTCTCTCTGGAAGACTCTCCATCTGCAACTGTGACAGACAGAGCACCATCTGCGCCATTGGGTCAGCAAGATCTTGTCTGCGAAAGAGCTTCAACCTGCTTGAACAGAGCTCTTCCACTCCTCCTTTTTGGTTTGAATTCACCCACGTCTCCCACTGTCACCGAGTCGGATCGACGTCGGAGCCTCACATTCCACCATCCAACAGCTCTGCTGCGGTCGCGTGCTGAGATACCTTCCTCGAAAAACGAGCTCCTGTCTCATTTGCTGAGACGCGATTCAGAATCCCCAACGCCCGAGCGAACAGCGGGACCACCACTTCTTTTTTTTTGGACCGAGGCTCGCAATTGGTCAATCCCCCACCATGGCCGGCGTCACCGTGCTCAGCGAGCTCCCGTCCCCCTCGCTCTTCCAGTTCCCTCCGGACGGCGCCCACATGGCAATCCCCCCGCCGCTCCCGGGTTCCATGGCCGCCGCACCCCCCTTCGAGATCCCCGACCACATCTTCTCCGCCGCCCTCGACCCCAAGGTGCCCATCACCATTGCCGCCCTCTACGCCGTCACCATCAAGCTGTTGAACAAGTACAACCAGTCCACTGGTCGCAAGCCCTGGGCAATCAGCAAGACGAAGCCCTTCTTCGCCTTTGTCGTTCTGCACAATGTCTTCCTCGCCGTCTACTCGGCCTGGACTTTCTGGGGCATGTTGGGAGGCATGCGCAGGAGCGTCGTGAGCCCTTTTGGCCCCAATGGCCTGGCTGCCACCGCCGACAGCTTCTGCCAGCTCAACGGTAACGGCGGCTTCGGTGCCGCCACTGTCTACAACGAGACCGTCGGTTTCTGGTCCAGCTTGACCGGACAGTCTGCGCTCGGCTTCGACGGTCGCCCGAGCCGCACCTCCACTGGCAGAATCTGGAACGAGGGTCTTGCCTTCTACGGCTGGATCTTCTACCTGAGCAAGTTCTACGAGGTTCTCGATACCTTCATCATCCTGGCCAAGGGCAAGCTCAGCTCCACCCTCCAGACCTACCACCACGCTGGCGCCATGATGTGCATGTGGGCTGGTATCCGCTACATGTCTGCTCCCATTTGGATGTTTGTCCTCGTCAACTCCTTCATTCACGCCATGATGGTGAGTTTGCACCGGCCTGTCTTTGTGCGATGAGAGATGCTAACCATGAGATCAGTACACCTACTACACCATCACCGCCTTCAACGTCCGCGTTCCCATGGCGATCAAGCGAACCCTCACGACCATGCAGATCACTCAGTTCCTCGTCGGTGCTTCGTATGCCATGCTGCACTCTTTCGTCTCCTACACCGTTCCCGTGACCGTCTACACTTCCAAGAAGGCCGCCGAGGCCGCCGCTTCTGAGGCCGTCACCAGCACCGCTGCCGAGGCCGCTACCACTGCGGCCGCCGGTGCCTTTGAGGGTCTCAAGAACATGGTCTTCGGCGCCGGTGCCAAGGTCGCCGAGGAGGCTGCAGGCGCGTCCGTCGCCGCCGCTGCTGCTGCCCCTCCCCAGCCGGGCTTCATCGCCGAGACCGTATACGTCACCCAGCCGTGCATCACCACCAGCGGAGAGACCTTCGCCATCTGGCTCAACGTCTTCTACCTGGCCCCTCTCACCTACCTCTTCGTCATGTTCTTCATCCGCAGCTACCTCCGCCGTAGCAGCGCCGAGTCTGCCAAGGGCAAGGGCAAGGTCCGCCGTGAGAGCAACGTCACCCTGGCCGAGAAGGCTGGCTGGGATGCTGCCCGCGATGTCAACCGCGAGATCTACAACGGCTCTACCGAGTATGCCGTCGAGGGTAGCCCCCGCCGCGGCGCCGGCAAGACCAACAACAAGGCCCGTGCCTGATTGTCTTGTGCGAAGGGGTTGCAACGGATGCGTAATGGGACATACGAGGGTTACTGTGGAGGATAGTCGGACTGAGAGGGTGGGAATTGGGACGGCGGCATGGTCATACTTACCTGGCGTTCTGAGCAGGGAAAAAATTTGGGGTAAAGCATTTGCATCGCCCGGAGCGCTCGTTATCTAGTCGTAACCGTCTAGAGTTTTGCATTTTACGCATGAGGTACCTGGGCAGTCGGCCGTGATCCGGCAGGTGTATATATATTATAGTACCCAATCTGGTTCTTCAATTCTTTTGTGGTGTGCCCAAAACGCGCTTTTGAGTGACACGCTTCGGAGACTTGGTCTCATCGAAGAGTAGGATGCGGTCGGCCTAAGCTCTTGCCGGATCGGGGTGGTCTTCCAGCCGTTCCGACACGGAGCCGGTCCGATGCGACGTCGGAGACGGCATTAATGTGGATACTCGGCCTTCGGAGCAAGCAAGACGCCGACGTCGAACGTCCGGTGAGGTGTCTCTGTGTTGGGTACCGACGGATGCGGCCATGTAAGTGCACGCCCGTTCGATACTCCGCACCCCGGGCTTCCTCGTCCTCATTCCTGACTCACAAACGCCACATGATGCGTATTCAAAGCAAAACATGGTAATTGTAATCCTTTCCAAGTGACATTATCAGTCACATTCTTTCTTCCCGCCAGAGGGCCCCAGCTTCACAGAAGTCTCCTCTCCAGGGTCATAACACAGAGCCCGCGCAGCTGCGACTCCTCCGCCGGAACATGTCTGAGCCACGGCACAGACTTTGGAAGGCCGCCATCAGCGGATTTAAGCTTGCGGGGGGGGCGTTGTTGCTCCTCTTTGCGCGCGCCCACTCGTGCTGCTGCTGGTCGTGAGATGGTTCACACGGGCTGGTGGGCTATGCTGCGGGTACAGCAGCAGACATGCAGGAGCGCAGCAGGAGCAGCGGCGGCAGCGCGTTGACATGTGCGCGCGCGCGCGCATGTGTGTGTCCGAGCCCGGTTCGTCCAGCGTCGCGTGGTGCGTTGGGACGCGGGGTGCGTCGCCCTCGTCGTCGTTGGACTACCTAACGTACTTAGCTTCCTTTTTTTTTTTCTTCCCCGGCCCGCGATCTTTATTCCCTTGTTCCCGCTGGCGACTGCGCCTGCTCCGCCGGTCTGCTGCTGCTGCTGCCTTCGGCCTGGCTGTCTCTCTCACTCAACATGAGCATGAGCCCCAGAATCTACCGCTGATGACGCTGTCATGCCATCGTGAGCGGACCAGGTCACCACTCCATACCCTGCAAGGCGAGCACTCCAAGATGACAAACGTCTTTGACAAGAAGGCGAGTCAATACCAGAGACTGCAAAGGTTACACATATCCAGCCACTCACTTGTATGAATCACGGCGCTGTGCGTGTCACTTTTCCACAGCATTCGCCGCAGCCGACAACGACATTCACCGCAAGATCTTACACCTCCAAGATCCCGAGCTAAATCCAACCTACCCTCACTGGACCTGGGGTAGGACGAAGGAGGGAATGGGGGGCGAGTGACAACTGGCAAGAGAGAGAGGTAAGAAGAGCCAACCAGCCACTAGGCTAGCCTCGGCTCAAGGATGACCACCCCCACACACTGCGCATACACACACCTCGAACCAGTCACTCGGTCGCGCTTGCTAAAGATTTGCCTTGTCGGGTAATGCCCAGAGACACGGGTCGGTGAGCAACAAGAACTCGGACACGTCTGGATTGCTGATGAAGCATCGTGAACAGGCAGCGGCCCACCACCGCCTGTCCAACCGTCACAGTCACAAGCCAAGGTTTCGCGAGGTGGAACTCTGTGTGGATGCAATCAATGGTATCTCTTTCTTGTCTGTCATGCGGGGTACTTCAAGGCGGCGGACGTGGCCTAACGTGCGCGACAAGGTTGCGCTGCCGTCCGTCCGGGTTGTTGACCCTTTCCTCCTTTCCCCCGCCCTATCCCGATCCTTCATCCTATATCATTTCTGTGCCATCGACCAATAGGTGAGGCCAACTCTAAATACACAACGCCGATCCATGAAGGTGTTCGGCCGACCAATTTCGTCTTCCCGCCTCGTCACCCGGGCGGGTTCAGAGAGCGGGAGTGAAACGCCCGGCCATCACATCTGGGGTATAGACACCTCCATGAAGTATGCCGCCAAACTCCGTTCGAAAGGAGGGCCTGATTAGAGCCAATGTATGTGTTCCGTAAAACGAGCCATTCCAATACTGTCAAAAAAGACGACAAGCCAAATTCCAAGCTCGCATCCTGTCAACGCCACGCTAAATGCAAAACGGAGCCATGCCAAATCGATGGTGTAGAAACCGGTAGGGCGTTCTAAGTGCGGATCGGATGTAATAATGTTGACGCGTATGCGCAGTCCATTAGTGGGTATTGTTGTTGTTGTTGATGTTGTGGTGGTGGTGGTGGTGGTGGTGTTTGGTATCGTCGGGGAGGTTGATGAGAATCAACGCCGCCGTTTGTAAGTCTATGAGTCTATTGTGTTCGCTCTTCGTCAAGGCCGTGAATCGTGATCCGTCTGTGGCTTCGCGCCCTCGGGTTTCTATTCCTCTCCGTATGCGCCGTATTCGTCGAGCCCTTAGAAGGTGCTCCAGTTCCAGTCGCGCGGCACGCTGGCAGCGACCTCGGGGCCCTTGGTGGGAGCCAGGAGGCCCGGCGTCGTGGGAACGATGGGGCTCGCAACGATGGGGCTGGTCGGGGTGGTGCTGGTAGAGTCGGAGCTCTGGTCGCTCCCGCTGCGGCTGCCGTTACGGCTCTTCCATACCTTAAATTCGGTGAAGCAGTGAAAGCAGACGCGGGACAAGGTCGCGCGGGGGTTGAACTCGCAGTCCTCGTCAAGGGGGATGAATTGTGTAGAGTGAGGTCCGCAGAAGATGTTGCCGCAGCGGCGGCAGTGGTGGCGACGGTTCCATGCATTGAAGTTGCGCTTGCAGGTCGGGTCGTCGCACATGGTAGACTCGGTGTCGGGCTGTGGAGTTTCGTTAGCATCCGCAGTCTCGCAGGGTATGCAGTGCACCGTCGTGTGGACTTACCTTCCAGTGCTTGCGCGTAGGCTCGCCGGTAACCTCGGGGAACAGCTCGGGATCCAACTCGAGGTCCACGACCTTGCCGCTGTCGCCGGTGGAGCGACGCGCCAGCTTGGAGCCGATGACGCTGAAGCCGGGCAGGCTGATGAAGCTGCTGTTGGTGCGGCGCAGGCAGAGCAGGTCCTCGCCGTCAAGGTCCTCGGCCTTGGGGGTTCGCGACTTCTTGGAGTGGTGGTGGTTGGGGCGGAGGACGGCAGGCATGTAGGCAGGGCGGACCGAGTCGGTCAAGCACGACTTGGGCGAGGTCGGGGAGCCGTCGTGAGGAGTGCTGAGGGGGGAGATGCGCTGGCCGAAGGGTCGCGGCGCGGTCTGAAAAGATTGAGATCTTGTGTGGCCAAAGTCAGGGCGATGCTGAGGCGCGTAGAAAGCGGCAGGGCCGCGCTGGTCGGCGAGGGTAGGCATTATGAGGTCGGCGGCCATTGTATTGACGATAGTCGATGGTGTAAGTAATGCTGTGGAGGATTGATGTAGAGGACAAAACCGCGCGTGGGATGGCGGCGGTTGGCGCTAATTAATGTAATCCAACGATGCGCGTGGTGTAGGAATGCAGAGTGCGGAATGCGAGCGTGTCGCAAAGTAGGTGTGGTGATGAAGAGGGAAGGCGTTGGGTCTCGTGTTATCGATGCTTCGAGTAGCAAGCTTGGCCGCAAACGTCGACAAAAGTATATTTCGTGGTTGCGTCGTGGAAGAGGCGAAGATGTGCTTGATCAACCAGAACGGGCTCCCTTTGGATGTTGGTTGTTGATTTATTTTCGGTAGAAGGAGAAAGCTGTAGATGGGAGGTGGGAGCGGGATGGTGAAGTAGTGGTTGGTCGATTGGGACGAGTACGGTCGAGGATGGGAATGGGGGCGTGGGAAGAGGAGCCTTAAGGGCGAACCGTGGGCAGGAGCAAGTGGAAGGGGGTGCGGGTTCCCTATTAGTTTTAATGTTGCGGCAATTGGCGGAGGGAGTTGCCCGAGTAGGAGGGCAGCACCAGTCAGTCTGCCGTACTGCGTAAGGTACCTTAGGTACCCAAGGTGCGGTGCACCTCAGCCAGAGGAAGGACCAGCCGCTGGAAGGAGGGGGAGTGCCCTGTTGATTCACACCCCCATCAAGGACATGACACGCTGCGGACCAGGGTCTCTGTGTGCAGCGTCTCTTTGCAGTCACTTGCACCCCCCAACGTATTCGTACCAAGCAGACCTTCATTTCCTATGAAGCCAGGCACGAATAACTCACGATGCTCTTTTGCCAGCCAACCCCTCCGCCAGAGACGCTCTCGCCGTGCCCATTACGGTGAAGCAAGCATACCTCTGTGCTGTCTGCCTGTCTGTCTGCATGCACTCGTCTGCCCAGATAAGAAATAAACTCTGGACAGAAGATGCATGTATGGCCACCCGTCTCCCAAGGTGCATAGGAGCAGCAGCAGCAACAGCAGCAATAACACCGCCAAAAGCCACATCAGCTACAACAACGGAAGGCGACCGCGATCTCCAAGATGCAGTTGCCCAATCAGCGACGACGGGAAACCAAAGTACAGAGAGTATCAGCGAGAAGGCAAAGGCGGCGGCCCACGATGGTCGATGGCGGCGGCGGCGGCGGAGGCGACGGCGACCGCCCTTTCGCCTGCAAGGGAAGCCCCCGTCAATGCAGTCAGTCAGTCGTCGTGGGCCGTCCACAGTTGGAGTTGGTCTCCAGTCCCCAGTCTCCAGTCCAGTCCCAGTCTCTCCAGTCCCAGTCCCAGTCCTAGCGGCGCTCCAGTCAGTGCACTCCCAGTTCCTTGTCGCGGTCCCCCCCTCACGGTCCACCTCATCATCAAGATGCACCACCACACACACAAAGTGCCCCCAATCCCGTAACCGCATTAGCGACCTCTGCGCTGTGGGCGGTCTTCTACCCGTCC